AGTGATGTCCCGGTGCCTGGAGGCCGTGCGGGCCTGGATGGGGAGAAACAGGCTCCGACTCAACCCTTCCAAGACCGAGTGGCTGTGGCTTCCAGCGTCCCGATATAGCCAGCTGGCGCCATCGCTGGTTATTGGGGGCGAATCATTGGCCCCCACAGAAAGGGCTCGCAACTTGGGCGTCCTCCTGGATACACAGCTGTCTTTAGAAGAGCATATGACAGCCATGGCCAGGGGGGCTTTTTATCAGGTCCGCCTGATACGCCAGTTGCATCTCTTTCTAGATCGGGACTCTCTACGCACAGTCACTCAGGCACTCATCACTTCCCGCCTGGACTACTGCAATGCTCTCTACATGGGGCTCCCCTTAGGGTGCACCCGGAGGCTACAGTTGGTCCAGAATGCGACCACGCGGGGGATTATGGGAGCGATGGGGCGCTCCCATGTGACACCTCTCCTGCGCGAGCTGTACTGGCTTCCTGTGGTCTTCCAGGTGCGCTTCAAGGTGTTGGTGACCACCTTTAAAGCGATCCATGGTTTAGGGCCGGGGTATTTACGAGACTGCCTTCTGCTGCCAATAGCCTCCCACCGGCCAGTTCGCTCACACAGAGAGGGCCTCCTCAGGGTGCCATCGGCCAGACAATGTCGGCTGGCGACCCCCAGGGGGAGAGCCTTCTCTGTGGCGGCACCTGCCCTCTGGAACAACCTACCCCCAGAGATACGCACGATACAAGACCTCCGGACTTTTCGTCGGGCCCTGAAAACACATCTATTCCATCTAGCCGGGCTGGCTTGACCCCATCCTTACGGTTTTAAATTTATAATTGGGTTTAATTGGGTTATTTTAAATTGACAGCCAAAAGTATTTAATGTTTTTTAAATTGTTTTTAAATTTTATATGTTGTGTTTTTACCGTGGCTGTTCACTGCCCTGAGTCCTGTTGGAGAAGGGCGGTATACAAATTAAATAAATAAATAAATTTTCTTTGTTAAAAGAAAAATATCATTTGCCCATCACCATCCACTGGCAGTATTTATAACATTTAATGACATCTCAGTGGACTAGAGACATTTTCAGCCTCAGAGTTTACCTAAATTGTTAAAAGTGATCCTACAATCCTGGGATTGATAAATCAGTAAGATATACAAATTTTAAGATGGAATGGAATAAGGAATTGAGATACTGATTTTATCTGAACAAATAGAAGTTGTTTTAACCTCAGTATCAAAAATTAACAGATTTTATATTGGACAGCCTGTGCAATGGGAAATGATGTTTTGGAATTAATAGATTCAACTTCATTTGCATAGAAAATATGAATATATGAATAAATCCCCATGCTATCGGAAATGCTTTGATATGAAATGTCTCTGTGATCATCTAATGTTAAATTTTAGGAAGAAGTAATTACATATATTAATTTGACATTCAGATAAAGTTTAATATTTTCCAACATCCATGATGTTTTGAACTATTACAATGATGGTTGGACAATTGTGACTCTGCTAAAAGGCTTAGTCCTTCAACACAGGAAAGGTACACTTTATGACCCAAAATACTCAATGGATTTAATTCCTCATGTTACTTGTGACTGAGTTGCTCATCAAAACTATTGGGTAAACTGTGTGTGTGAGAGAGGGGGGAAGAGTGAGACTACTTATATTTTTTTATTTTGCAGTGTCCCTTTTAATTTTGCTTTGCACAATCCCATCATATTATATTACATAGAATATATGTACTTTTTATTCATACAGAAAGGAGGTGACTAGCAGGATAGAGACTGAGCTCTGTTTTAACTCACTATCTTTATTAGGAATGTCTTTTACTTATATCACCTCACTGTTTGAATGATATATTTACAACCTGTGCTATTGCTGGATGTGGTAAGAAAGTACTAACAGGAGGCACAGATTTCCCATCCCAACAGAGATGGAAAATAAAAATAAATTTAAAAACCAAGGCAGGATAACTTCTGAATAACTATTGAACAAAGTATAAAAAAAAGGTGAAAATTAACTTTTGCTGATATTTAAAGCATTTATAAATATCTGGAATAATTTAAATTTAGGAGTAATGGACAATTAATGTGAGGTATTAGCTTTATTAAAAAAGCAAGCTGAACATAGATACAGCTACAGCTATTATAAATAAATTAGTTTGTTACAACCCAGAGAAACTATGAGTGATTATTCATGTCTTAAACAGTGCCTTTTACTTATGCAAACTGAGCTTTCTACTTTAGAACACATAGGTAAGATTTACAACAAACAGAACTAAATAAATTTTTTGATTTGTTTATATATATTGATACATAAACCACATAACCACATAAGTACAGAAATTACCTAAAAAGTCAGAATTGGAATATGTCTGCTGATACAAAAAGTAAAATCCTGAGTGACATTAAAGAGGAAAGCCAGAACAAAAAATTAATAAAGAGGAAAGCTAGAACAGAAGAACAGAACAGTATCATGCTCAAAGAGGTAACAAAATCTCAGAGAACCTTATCCACCTAATAAAGCTTCTTTCAGAACCAGCCTGGTAGCACTTTTTACTTAGTAATGAAATGAGTTGCAGCTTCCAAACCCTTGTGCTTTTAATAAAATTTGTTAGTCAGAGAAGATACTGTCAGACTCTTCTGTTTTTTTTTGCTACTATAGAGTTACAACCTCTTCTTCTACAAACTTAAGAACAATTCAGGTATTAAATGAATTTTCAAATAACTAAGCACTCCTGCAAATGAGAAGGATAAATATTAATAGAATGAAATGGAGTTCAGGTACAGCAATTCTAAATTGGGACAGCTGATGTAAACACAAATCTATCCTGTTGATATGGGGTTTATATAGAATGGTTATCATTTTCATATGATGGTATCAGAATTGTAATTGCACTTAAGAAGGCTATCTTTCCTTCCATGCTGTTTAGGAAATAAAGCAGGAGGAGAAAGAGGAAGGGGGGAAGGGAGGGGGGAGGACCAAGAAGGGAACAACTATTACATGAGCTGAGCTGGCTGCTCATCAGCTTCCAGGTCCAATCCAAGGTGTAGGCTATTACCTTTAAAGCCCTCTGGGGCATGAGTCCAGAATATCTGAGTAACTGTCTTTCCCCAATGAAATCAGCCCACCCCACTCATTCTGCAGAACCGTGGACCCCAGCAGTCAAGAGGTTTCAGCTGATGAGGTTCACCAGAGGAGTCTTTTCTGCCATGGCACCCAAACTTTGGAACATCTTGTTACCAGAGGTGAGATCTGCCCCTTTCTTTGTCCTTCAGGAAAAGCTTTAAAACTTGATTATGCCAGTTGGCTGGAGGTAGTATGTGCAGAAACAGAGAATGTACCACCACTGCTCCATTCCAAATCTTTGTTTTTTTAGTTTGTTTTAATACTTTGTAATTTTTATCTATTTTTATATTTATAATTGTTTTTATATCTGTAGGTTTTATTACACTCTAAACCTTTCAAAGTTGCTTTGACTGGCAAAATAGGGGGCATATAAATTTAATAAATAAAGTATGTCATTTTGAAATGCATGTTTGCAATTAGAAAGTCATCCCCTTGCAGACAATTCACTGGATATAGTCACTACCAAATCAAATGAAATAACAGAAGCTAATCCAGGAGGAGAGCTATTCCACAGAAGCTATTCTTCAAGAATTGAAGAAAGGCCATCTGATCCCAAGACAGAGAAGTCATTATCACAAAAAGAGATGGCTGATCTTCTGATTATAGGAAGCTGATAATTGCTTTCATCTCATAATACTGCAGGATGGAGAGGTATGTTAAGAGATTCATATTGTATCAGTTTTATAACTAATTTTGATATTATCTTTGTACCAGAAAAATGGATGAAAGAACACCTACATAATTTCACTGACTGTGATAGAGCCTCTGTTGGGAAATCAGCCAAATAAGAGGTTGACTATACTAATTTTCCCCAAAGTTAAAATAAAACATATTGTAATAGTGCCATTCAAGGCAATGGCAGTGAGTTAATTTCAAATCACATTCTCTTCAGATGATGTGTACTTATTCCACTAAGTATAAAACCACAAAATAATAACAAAAAATATGGCAGAGCCTAGAAAATTATGCTTCCAAGCTGACAGCTAATCAACCTCAAATTCAAGCTATGCTAGGTAATGATTTTAAATGTAAGATTAGGGTCAAGTGATCTGACCTTTTGTACCACCCCCAACTAAAGAAAGTACAGGTAATCTTCAAGTTACAAATGTAATGGAGCCTGCCAATTACATTCGTAACCCAAAGATTGGTTGGAGTGAATCACGTTAAATGAACGGGAAAACTTCCTGCCTTCACCCATGCATTCACTAATCGAATATGCATGTCGTTAAGTGCACGAGGTATCTCAGGGTGGGGAAGAGGATGGGGAGCCTAGTGCTTCCAACAACCCAAGACCTCCCTCAATCCACTGAGATATCTCAAATTTACACCCCCCTCCCCATCCTGCCTGACCAGGTCCACTTACCTTTCGAAGATCTAATGAGCTGTCTTCTCTCCAGCCTCTCTGCCACGGTTTCGCTTTGAACAAAGGCTTGATGAAGGCTAGAGGGAGATTGCTCCGATTGCTCTGTCCAGGCTCCGATTGTCTTTGCCGCTGAAAACGGAGCCCTGCCAAAAACGGAGTCGCTGCCATGTCCCTCCCAGGCTCTGTTTTCAGCACGGCTCTGTTTTCAGCGGCAAGGGCTTTTTGCAAAGACGATCGGTGCCTAGAGGGAGATTGCATCTGTTTAGCCTCCAATTCTCTTTGCAAAAGGCCTTTGCCAGCAAGAACGGAGCCCAGAAGGTATGCGCTGGCCTCTCCTGGGCTCCGTTCTTGCTGGCAAAGGCTTTTTGCAAAGACGACCAGAGCCTACAGGGACACAATCTCCTGTAGACTGCAGTCGTCTTTGCAAAAAGCCTTTGCTGGCAAGAATGGAGCCTGGGAGGGATGTGCCGGCCCCTCCTGGGCTCCATTCTTGCCAGCAAAGGCTTTTTGCAAAGAGGACCACAGCCTATAGAGAGGCAATCTCTTGCCCCTACAGCAAGGAAACAGCAAACAGAGGGAAGGCCTGAAGAACCGAAGCCTTCCCTCTGTTTGCAAAGCTTTTTGCTGCAGATCTCGTCCAGGCCTCAATTATCAGAGAACAGAGGCCTAAAGTAGTGTGAGATCACACAACACCAGCTCGTGCTATTGATCTCATGGTACTTTAGGCCTTTGTTGTCTGTGAATGCAGTAAAAGCCTGAAGCAATGAAGCAGGCAAAGAAACTGAAGGCTTGCTAGATCTTTGTAAGGTAAGTGAGTCTCCACAGCCCCAGTGCCTGCGGGAGACCCGGGGTGGGGGGTGGAGAATAGGGAGGGCGAATGTTGCAGTGCCTGGTGAACAACTGCCATGGTGCTGAAATATTCATAACTTCAGGACTGGGTCATAAGTAATAGGGAGGTTATGTCATAACTTCAAATGGTTGCTGAGTGAACTGTCATAACTTGAGGATTACCTGTAATTTGTTTTTACCATTAGAGTTGCCTCAACTTTGGGATGGAAAATGCAATTAGGCTGAACTTTGCCTTGCATAATGTATTGCTAAAATAGACAAAATATAATAAAATATCACATTTTAAATGGAGCAACCAAGGGAAACAGATCAAGGAAATTTACTTTCTAGACAGATTCCAAAGTTAATACAAATAACTATATAGCCTTTTCATGAAATTTCCTAAAGCATTTGAAAAAAATTATAATTATTACTTTCTCAAATTGTAATTATCTATCTTTGACTCTATACCTTCAACTTAGGTGAAAAATCCAAGCTACTAACATAAATTCTGTTTAACCATAGTAGATGTGGATCTTTGCTGTGGTAGGTTGGTCAGCAAAACCTTCCAGAAAAACTGGAAGGACTTTCAATTATCCCCAACTAAAAACAGGTTGAAATGGAGATTATCTCACACATACAAACACACTCATCCATGAAATAATACTCAAGGTTTATGAATATACAATATGTTCTTATTTAAAAGGCATACTCTCCCAAATATAGCAGTGAGTTATAGATTCAATTCCCGGGAAAATCTCTGACACAAACTTAAATCCTCCATAAGAGATAGACAACTCATCATCCTCTTCTACAGGTACTCCTCAACTTATTACAGCTGAGCCCAAAATTTTTGTTAAGTGAAACATTTGTTAAGTGAGTTTTGTCCCATTTTACAACCTTTCTTGCCACAGTTGTTAAATGAATCTTTGCAGTTGTTAAGTCAGTAACACAATAGTTAAGTGAATCTGGCTTCCCCACTGACTTCATTTCTCAGAAGATCACAAACCTGATGACCTGTCCTTGGGACACTGCAGCCATCATAAATATAAACCATTTGCCAAGTATCCGAATTTTGACCATGTGACCATGGGGATGCTCGTAAGTGTGAAAAACAATTATAAGCCACTTATTTCAATGCCATCATAATGTTTAATGGTCACTAAATGAATTGTTGTAAATCAAGGATTACCTGTATACACTTTATAGGAACAGCAAACTGTTCAAAGTACCAAAGAACAATTGGAACATAGTAACTTCCACTTCAAAGTGACCCAGTTTATGAATAATGAATTTCATAGGGTCTTTACTCAGCTGCATGTTGCTGTTATTTCACAAACTAAACTGGGCAAAAGATGGAATAAAAATCAATGGTGCCTATTTAAATCACTTAAGATTTGCAGATGATGATGTTCTCTTCACAAAACCCAGAAAACTTTCAAAGATATATACAAGAGCTGCACAAAGCAGGAAAACCACTTGGCTTAAAAATAAACCTGAAAAAGAGCCAGGTTATGTTTAATAAATTCACCAAAGAAAGAAAAAAATTATATCTGGAGAAGATCTAGATGAAGTAGATCACTACAAATACCTTGGCCAACAGATCTCAATGGAAGATGATACAATAAAGGAAATTGAAAGGCCTTTTAAATGCGGTTGGCAAGCTAAGCATAATTTTCAAGAACAACCTTCCCTATGCCTGAAGAGAAAAGTTTTCAATCCGTGAGAGCTACCTGTTCTAACATATGCCAACAAAACATGGACATTAACCCCACAATTGATACAAAAGTTACGAGTGGCACAAAGAGCCATGGAAAGATACATAGTCGGTATTAGAAGACAAGATAGAAAAACCTGCACATGGATTAACGAATAAATGAAAGTATACGATATCATCAAGAGAGTAAAAGAACTGAAATAGAAATGGACTGGTCACATAGCAAGAACTGATGGCAGGTGGGCTAAGGCAGTCATAGAATGGACTCTACTTGATAAAAAGCATCCACGAAAAAGACCTAAATAAGATGGATTGATGACATCAGCAAGTATTGCGGGCCCAATTGGCAAAAAAAAAGGTCAAGATTATATTGGTTGGAAACATGCAGAAGGACTTCATTCTGCATTGGATAAGATAATGGCTAGGGTGATGATGATGATGATGATTCCCTTATTTTATTGCATTGTAAGCTGTCCAGAGTTGCTCTCAAACTGAGATGGGTGGCATATAAACTTAATTAGTAAATAGATGTATTTTCTTATTGAACTGTATTCTATTTTTATTGCTTTTGATATGCTTAGTGCATCTATGACTTATAATAAAGTATTGACTTATAATATATTTCAATTCTGATTTCTCTACGTTATAATTAAATTTGTCCTCTTAGTGAATGAAAGAAAAAAAATCTTTCCATGCATATCTAAGGCAAGGAAAAAGAAAACACAATATAATATATGATCAAAATTCTGTATGTGAAGTTTAGCATCATTTTGGGGTAATAACTACAGTGATTGAAATGGGAATGGGAAATGATAGAAGCTGCATGGCTGCAGATTAATTACAAATTACCGTATATGTGTTATTCAGCTTGTAATTAGGTCCTTTGTGGACAATTTGTTACAAAGGTGTAGCAAATGTTCAATCCTTCTTTTGCCAACCTGGTTTCTTCAAAACGCTTCTTCCTTAAAACTCAGGCTCCATTCCAACCAGAGTGTAGATCTCTTTTTTAATCTTACATATATGGAGTTAATCGCAATGGCGAATGGGAAAAGTATGATGGGTACTAAGAAATTAAAGAGACATCAGGACAATACTAACACTGGGATGCAATTCTTTTCCTAGCATTTCAGAATGACTTTTTACAAGTGAACAGTAAATATACATGTTATGCTATGTGTGGCAAAAGGGATTAAGAGAGTGGCAGCTAATGAGTTCTATATACTCCTAAGTAAAGTTGACTATAGTTTCATTTTAATTGGCTTTCATCCTACTTAATGTACAAGAAGCAACTGAAGAAAAAGAATAATAAATTATGTTAGAATGTTGAAAAATATTAAGGTGAACTTCTGGGGAAGGTATGGCGAATTTAAGATGACTCTGCAAAAGTGGAACCAACAATGGCAAACACCAAGGAACCAGTTCGTAGACAAGTTTTATTGAAGTCTTTCCAAACAAGGACAGAAGATCACCCCACATGTGCTCTGGCAGCTGCTTCTTGTGAGAAGACCACAGGACACTTTTTTCCCACGGGCTTGAGTACCAGGAGACAATGTGATAAGCCATCTTGCTTGCAACCTTGGTGGAGCCTTTTAAATGCTCTTTAAACTCTTAACCTTTTTAAAAGTTCACTTTTCCCTCCATTCTCTTTTCTTTCTGTAAGTATAATTTGTATTAGTTTTTACCAGTGTAATTAAAATTCTTAATAAAATTATATTCAAAACAAAAATATTAAGGCTGCAGATCATATAAGTGGAGTAATATTAAGTTATAAATGTGTCTTCTTTAGCTGTGTGGCTTGTTTAACACATCGGTAAAAAATAGCACCTGTGCTCAAAGAACAGAAGATACTGTTATTACTTCCCTATGGAATGGGAAAGAACATGAATGCAAATTTATAGGAGGATTAGTTAAGCATGTCTAAAAGGTATTTAGCAGAATTCTGATGAAAAGGGATGCCAACGAGCAAAAAAAAAAAAGGTACAATTCAGCAAATGATTGGGAAATGTATCAATTATTTAGAATTATATGTGAGAAGAAAGTTTATTGGATGTCTTCTGATTTAGAGAAAGCACATAAGCAAATCAACTTACTTAAGGGAAGTTTACATAAATATAGAGTTCAGAGTGGTTGCTGATTGTGACATAAGAGAATGAAGTTATTTTTTAGATAAAATGGAATGGTTCTGATGAGAGAACTGTAAATCTTACTTAAAATAACATATTTACTTAAAATGGGAGAATTGTGTGCAGAGAGATAGCAAGTATTATCTGGCCAAAGATAAGGAATGAAAGAATTAAAAGGGAGCATGTTTCTGCCTCTATTACATGGAAATGAGAGTTGAGAATGGCAAGAGAAACATGAAGTGAAATAAGATGGAAATGAGACACTGTATTTCAGCAATGTTAAAAGAAGAGGAGTTTAAGTTCAGAATAAACACTGATGGATAACAGATTAAATACAAAAATGAATGATCAACAAGAAAAAAGTGTATCAAGTTTATGTGGTCATACAGGATGAATGAAAAAGTACTAAGTTGCGGAATAAATATCAAGGAAGAATGAATGGGCAAAAAGAAAAAAAAGATCAAGAAAGTCATGAATGGATAGTTGATGAGACCCTGAAAAAGAGATAGAAATTTTTTAAAAGAAAAGGCAAGATATAAAGCTGCGTACAGATGTGATAAAAAAGGATAGTGTCGATACCTGCCACACTCGACACACAGGGATAGGGTTACAGTACGGATCTCACCGAATGAAGCCGGCGTTGCAGTTGGAAAGCCGTGGATGGGCCGCGGGCTGAAAAGGGGGGATGGGCACATATTGGTGGTGGGGGTGATAGCAGTTGGTTAGGCGGTCGGTCACGGTGCGGACAGGATAGGGTCTTCCTGCTAGTCACTGCCGCCTGATGGCGCACCCGAGTGACGTCACGGCTCGCACGACGGGCGTGAAGCCAAAAACCCGGAAATGCAGCCAATTGGTGAACTGATTAGTGCGGCTATTTAAACGGCGTTGGGATGCAGCAGCTCCCTACGCCGACTTTGTGTTATCGTTTATTGAACTAAGCATGGTCTGCGGCAAACCTGGAGACCAAATAAACCAGTTTCCTGCGAACAACTTTGATTGACTGTAGCGTGGTTCTTCACTGTACCCAGGTTTGTTGAGCAGTCTGAGAGAAAGTCGGTGTTTTCCTTTTTGCTTTCTTGGATATTCAGGAGCTGAGGGGATGACGGAGGGCACAACGGCTGCTCCACCAGTTCAGGGGGAGGCGGCTGAGGACACCACCATCCTGGAAACGCCAGAGAGCCAGAGTACCAGTGAGCCTCCGGTGGTTAGGCCAAAGGAAAAGAAGCCTCAGCAGGGGGAGAGCACTGTTGAAGACCAGGACGCTCCTGTGCCGAGTGGGACGAAGGTTTCATTGGGTGACTGGTGGCATAGTTCAGCTCTTACCGGTCCCGGTGCCCAAAAACCCCGACCCATTACCAGGACGAAGCCGTCTTCCAGGGCTGGAGGGAAAGGAAGTGGATAGAAGACGAAGGAGGAGTGGAGCTACTCCACCGGACTAGGGGCTTCTACATTAGACGTGCTGAGAGAGAAGTTTGGAGAAGCTAGCTTTAGGGATGCGTCATCATGGCAGCCTTGGGCTACAGGAGGGGAAACAGCTACTTGGCAGGGGGGGGAGCAAGTGGCCAGAGTAGAACTGAGACTCGCTTCCATTTGGCAAGCCCTAAGTTATGTATGGAGAAGGGGCTTAGTAGGGCTAGGTCATGGAACAGCAGTTCTCAGGACCTGGGGCCTCCTCTTCAGGTGAGGCTTTGCGTGGGATAGATCAGGATATGCAATGGAAGCCAGGTCGTCACGAGACGGGCCAAGCAGGCTCACAGACTCAGGTCAGCCATCGCAGGATGGAGGAGACGACCAGAACACCCATACCGCATGCCAAATACCTATGTGGGCACCGGGGGTGTGGCCACAATAACAATTTTGGGAACCCCCGCCCATACAAGCCTCCTTCGATGGTAGCACTGACAGAGTATCGATTTTTCTAAGCCAAATACTTAAGTCATATGGATTTATATGGACGTATGTACCCATCGCAGTGGGCTATGGTAATTGCCATCACTGCAGTCTTACAAGGGGAGGCAGCTAACTGGGTTGCTGACCTCCATAGCGAACATGCAAAAGAGTTAGCAAATGTTGGTTTGTTTTTGGAGGCTTTCTGGGGACATTTGAGGATAGCTCGAGAGTTCAGATGGCCGAAGGGGAACTAATGGCACTGAGACAGAGAGGATGTCCTGCCAAAGAGTATGTGAAGGAGTTTCGCACTCTAGCTGGGCGGCTTCGCATCTGGCCTGAACGGTTACTGGTACACCAATTCCGATCTGGACTGGATAGGGAAGTGAGACACGCATATGTGTATCGAGGGTTGCCACTGAGATTATCAGAATGGTTTAAGGCAGCAGTAGAATTAGAAGTGGGGTTGCGGGAATTCCGACCAAGAGGAGTGGGCAGTGTGAGTCAACTACCATGTTATGCCGCGGCCAAACCAGTGGGGGCAAAGGATCTTGGGGCAAGCGGCCTGCACTACTTAGACAAGCAATGGCAGGGGAGAGGGGAACGTTTCGTTGTTTTCGCTGCAATCAACTGGGCCATCGGACTGTTGAGTGTCCTATACCTCCCTTGCAATCTACTCCAGCACAGACTCCACCAACAGGGGGCAAGATACATGAGCAGGTTTGTTCTACGTCAGACTGGTCGAAGATAACTATGCCAACACCAACCATTGGTTCCCGTTCAATGCTGCTGGATGCTAAGAGCCCCTTGGGGGGGGGGGAAGTATACCGGTACCATCGGAGAACAGTGAGAATAGTGAGCCAGAGGATCCCATGGTAAGCAACCCGATACACCCATTTGTTATACCGGTGGTGTTACAGAATGTGTGTACTTCTGCAACAGTTGAACAGGGAGCACTGATAGATTCCGGATGTACCCTTTTTTTCATTCGTAAGACAGTGGTTGATAGCATAGGCCTCCATCTTGTAAAACTTAAGTCCCCTATGAAGTTCGAACAAATGGACGGGTCTCTACTTGGGGGGACACCGGCTACGTACGTTACTGAACCTGTTCGCTTGGGAGATAGGGGAGCATAGAGAACAGATTCACTTTATAGTGGTGGAATGGATGGTTGAACCTGTTATACTAGGTCTGGCGTGGTTGGACAAATGGAGACCTACCATATGGTGGGAAGGTGGGTTTCGGAAGTTGCGTCTTAGTGTGGGCCCAGATCCGGACCCTGAGATCCAACAACCAAAACAGCATAGTGACGGTAAAGCAAGAGGCATACAGGGACCTCAGCAGGTAGACTTCCCAGACATCTATAGAGATTTAGCAGCTGTATTCAACGAAGAGGAACATGAGGTGCTACCACTTCACAGAGCAACCGACTGCGCCATAGAGTTAATCCCTGGGGCCAAATTACCGAAACTGTGCATGTATGCGATGACCCAAAAGGAGTTAAACGAACTTTGTAGATACATAGATAAGAACTTAGCCTGGGGTTTTAGCCAACCCAGTCGAGCACATATGGCTGCACTGGTTCTGTTCCGAGAGAAGGATGGAGGCCTAAGTCTCTGTATGGACTTTTGGGGTCTGAACGCTACTTGTGTTGAATACCTGTACCCTTTGCCATTGATGAAAGACCTCCTAGCTATGTTGTCCACAGGGAAGGTGTTCACCAAACTGGATTTGCGAGAGGCCTATTATAGAGTATGGATATGCCCGGGTGATGAGTGGAAAACCACATTCAACTGTCCTTTAGGTAGTTTCAAATTTCGAGTAATGCCGTTTGGATTGCAGGGAGCCCTAGCTGTCTTCATGCAGGTTATTAATTAAGTCCTGCATGAACACTTATATCGAGGCGTCCTCGTCTACCTGGACGACATTTTAATATATTCCAAGACCATGGAGAAGCATACACAATTGGTGTGACAGGTATTAACCAAACTACTACAAGCAAAATTGTTTGTAAAGCTGTCAAAGTGAGAATTTCACTGCACGAAAGTAGATTATTTAGGGGATCGCATTTCAGGAGATGGGATAGAAATGGATCCGAAAAAAGTGTCAGCAGTATTAGAATGGCAAGCGCCAAAGACAAGAAAACAATTGCAGAGTTTCCTTGGATTTGTGAATTTTTATCGACAGTTTATCCCAGCCTTTGCCCAGGTAGCTCTCCCTTTAACTGATCTATTACGGAACAAACATACTGGAGGCAAAGCGAGGCCGGGACAGCTGTTGTTGTGGACACCTGAATGCCAACAATCGTTTGAGCAGCTGAAGAGTCTATTTTCCCAGGAACCCGTACTCAGACACCCAGATCCCGCTTTACAATATATTGTACAAGCAGATGCTAGCGACATAGCCGTCGGTGCTGTGTTGTTACAAAGAACCAAAGAGGGGAAATTATATCCCTGTGCTTATACGTCAAGCAAATTGATGCCTACGGAACGAGGTTCGGCTATTTGGGAGAAAGAGGCATTTGAGGTCAGGTGGGCATTGCTCACTTGGCGACATCTACTAGAATTTATTGGCGATAAATTCGAGGTCTGGACAGACCATAAAAATTTAGAGGCCCTCCAAACCCCTAGGAGATTGTCACCAAAACAGGTATGTTGGGTGCAGAAGTTCCAGCGGTTCAATTTTGATTTGAAGTATGTTCCAGGGGGGTGGAATTTTTTAGCTGATGCATTGTCGCACATGCCTCAATTTAATAAAAGGGAGGATGTTGTACAGGCCATTATACCAAATAGACAACATGCAGGTCGGACATATAACAAAGAACCAATCCCTTCGTGGTATGAGGAATTACGACATGAGGTGAGTCGTGATCCATGGATTGCTGAACCTATAACTTCGGTGACCCATTGTGATGGGTTGGTGTGGATGGGAACAAAGTTGTATATACCTCAACCTTTGCGAGCAACAGTATTGAAATGATGTCATGATACAAAGTTTGCAGGGCATTTTGGTTTTCTCAAGACATTACATCTCACCAGAAGACAATTTTGATGGCCTCGTATGCGTAAAGATGTCGAACAATATGTGAAAAGCTGTAAAGTGTGTGCGACAACAAAAGCACGGCTGGGTAAACCACTTGGGTTGCTACAGTCAGTTGCACACCCCAGTAGGCCATGGGACGAAATAGGTATGGATTTTGTGGTCGACCTCCCAGAAAGCAAAGGGCACACAGTAATCTGGACTATAGTCGACCTTTTTTCCAAACAAGCACATTTCATTCCCTGCCGTGGTTTACCATCCACTAAAAAGTTAGCACAATTGTTCATACATCATATCTACCAATTGCATGGAGCACCTCGTCGAATCATATCGGACAGGGGCGTACAGGAACCTTGGTAGTACAGTGGTCTAAAGCACCCTGTTATTAAGACCAGCTGCCTGCAATTACTGCAGGTTCAAATCTCGACAGGCTCAAAGTTGACTCAGCCTTCCATCTTTTTCTAAGGTAGGTAAATTGAGGACCCAGTTGTGGGAGCAATAAGCTGACTTTGTATAAATATACAAAAGGATGAAGGCTATTGCTTAGCACATTGTAAGCCGCCCTGAGTCTCCGGAGAAGGGCGGCATATAAATCAAATTAAAAAAAAAAAATTCACCGCACGATTCTGGCGTAATTTCATCAACATGATAGGATCCTCCCAAGGGTTGAGTTCGGCATTCTACCCTAGCACCAATGGGGCCGCGGAAAGGACCAATGCTATGGTGGAAAGATATTTATGTTGTTATATATCTTATCAACAATCCGACTGGTCGGATCTTCTACCATTTGTTGAGGTAGCATATAACAACGCCGTACACCATAGCACGGGGGTTACACTGTTCCAGGTAGTGTCTGGCAGAGAATTCACTGCAATCCCTGAACTGAAGATGACTGACCAAGAACAGGTGTCTCCACGTTTCCGATTCGGGATCCGAATTGGAAACCTATGGCCGAAAGTCAAGGAAGCGTTACATAAAGCAGCAAAGGAATATAAGCTGCAGGCTGACAGGAAGAGAGCGGACCACAAGCCTTTCCAGGTGGGGGAATCAGGTATATGTGTCCACTAAATACATAAAGTTAAAAATACCCAGCAGAAAGTTAGGACCCAAATACCTTGGACCTTTCACTATCACGAAAGTGATAAACCCAGTAACCGTGGAGTTAAAGTTACCACCTTTACTGGGTAAAATACATCCTGTGTTCCACAGCAGTCTACTAAAACCAATAGAGAGTGTACGGGAACCTCTTGAGCGTCCTGAGCCGCTGGAGGAGGGGCAATATGAGATCGATGACATCCTGGACTCCAAAATAAATAGGGAAAAACTTAAATACCTAGTAAGATGGAAAGGCTACCCATTTGAACAGGCATCCTGGGTGTCAGTTGAAAACATTAAAGCAAAACGATTGCATAGACTCTTTCACTGTAAATACCCAAACAAATTCGGGGGTGAGGGAGGGACATACTAAACCCTGTACTAAACCCTTTCATGTCTTATAGGTGGACTCCTGGTAGGGGGAGCCGCCTGTCGAGACCTGCCACGCTCGACACACCGGGGATAGGGTTACAGTACGGATCTCACTGAATGAAGCCGGAGTCGCAGTTGGAAAGCCGTGGACGGGCCGTGGGTTGAAAAGGGAGGATGGGCACATATTGGTGGTGGGGGTGATAGCAGTTGGTTAGATGGCAGGTCATGGTGCGGACGGGATACGGTCTTCCTGCTACTCACTGCTGCCTGATGGCGCACCCGAGTGATGCCACAGCTCACGCAACGGGCGTGAAGTCAACAACCCGGAAATGCAACCGATTGGTGAACTGATTAGCGCGGCTATTTAAACGGCATTGGGATGCAGCAGCTCCCAACGCCGACTTTGTGTTATCGTTTATTGAACTCAGCGTGGTCTGCAACAAACCTGGAGACCAAATAAACCAGTTTCCTGCAAATGACTTTGATTGACTGCAGCGTGGTTCTTCACTGGACCCAGGTTTGTTGAGTGGTCTGAGAGATAGTTTGCAAAGACATAAAATATGAAATTATAATGAATAGTGTTGGCATAAACTTGCTGTAGCTATAATTCCTTTTCTCTTCTCTTGCCTTTAAATTGGCTTTGTATTTCTTACTCCTCTCCTACTCTTTGCACATTCTGAAATAGATGAAAGCAAGCAGGACTAATTCATGTAAGACAGAAATATTACAGTTTTTAGATCACTTCCTCATAGTTCCCATGATCCTATATAATCTCCAAGGTTTGGAGATGGTTCTTACAGCCTCTCCAAAACCTGTTGCCAAGTTGCAATGTTTAATATGACAGAAAAATGCAAATACTGTAGCATATTACGGTAGATATAATACAGAAAGTATACTTAACCCAAAATAAGACTACACAATCATTAATATGAATTTACTGTTTGATCAGATTGTGCCTATGCTTCATCAGCTGTGCTGGGAGCAGCCAGATTCAGTTCCTCATTCAGAATAATTTAATCTTAAAGGCTGTACAACTTGAATATATCAGAGATATTACTCCATATGCCTGCCTAGAAGTATATTTTTAGCAGTGGGGCTCATGTTAGTGCAGTGCATTTTGAAAAAGGAGCTTCATTCTTCAAAGATTTTTGGCAACCTGTGAAAGTAATGTCAAAAATATTTTCAAGTCCATTAACAATGATATCTTAATCCATGCAGGGACCTCCTGGTTTGACCTTATACAAAACAGCTTAAATGCTCTTTTCACATTTGAGCTGGAAAAGGAGAGATGGGAAAGGAAAAGCAGCCTTCAACAGTTGAAAAAGAAGATGGCTGTTTAAATATGTAGAATGAATCACCTGTTAAATGTTTAAACTTATTAGAACCAAGAGTTCATTGAACAATATTTTTACTGACATATGCATGTAATATTGGAGTACCCAAGCAAGACTAGACTTCACAGCTGGCTAGCAGAAACTAATGCAGTTAACTATAGTTCATTCCCTTCCTGCAAAGCTCAGAATCCCCCACACCGTAACATTGCCACTCTTATTTCTCAATAGTCTTATTCCTTTGCACTCCAGTCCGATAGCAAGGAAAACAATGACTACTTATTTGATTATTAAGAACTAGTTTATCAAAGTGTACCCACTTGATAAATTAATTAGGATCATCCTTCCATATGGAGAAACCATGGCCACTAATGAGAAAACAATGGAAGCACATGAATGGGACAATTTTTCAGATAATTAAGTGGCTTCCATTTGAAACATGATCATCTGCATTCATCTTTTATCTAACTCAGCTGTAAAGTTTCAGTCAATTACAAAGAGGTCAAAGATACTACTACCTTCATATTGTGGTGTAGGAAAGAGTGGAGTATAAAGAGCTTTCTCCCACCAGCACTGTTTTGCTTGATTGTAGCTTATTTTCTGAAGGTCACTACTCAATACAGGAAACTGTTTTGAGAAGAATTATATTTTAGTTCAAGGACAAAAGAAAATAATCCTACAGTATACTTATTCTAGAGAATATGAATCCAATAAAGTGAGATATTGTTTCAAGAAATTATGAAATGCTTCCATACAAACAGCTGGTCTCAGTAAGTTCAGCAAAGCATAAATGTACATGTTTAACTCAACTAAGATACTGTAAGTCTGCATGGGGCTATTAGTGCAGTATAAAAGTTTAGTGTTCAAAATTTCTAATACTATTTCCACATAAACATTAAATGTTACTTAGGTATTATCTTCTTGTACATTTTTATATTCAATAACTTCTTTTTCATTTTTCCTCTTAAAGTTAAGGGTTAACACCTATTTTGACTAGCGAAATAAGTGCACACTGGAGACAACTATTACACATCCCATGGACTGCAAAAATCACAAACAGGTCCTAGACTGAGCCTCACCAAAATATCACTTGAAGCCAAGACTGCCAAATAAATGCTATCATACTTTGACCATGTCATGGGAGCTGACTCACTCAAAAGTCAGTTGTGCTGGGAGTGATCAATGGAAAAAAGAGAAAGGGCCGCCCTAGCACCTACTGGCTGGATATTATAAAGGATGATACCAAGATGACCATGGAGAATCTGAAGGAGGCAGTGTGAGACAGAGAAGCATGAAGAGTGCCAATCCATAGAGTGACCAAGGGTCGGACACGAATGAATGGCTGACAAATGCATAAATAAATGCACAAAAGCAATGATATATGTTTATTTGCACGAAAAGGGGGAGGACTCAATGTAATATAATCCCTACCCCTACCAGATAAAGAAATGTGTCCTAGAAACTATTAGCAGTTTCTCTTTTCCCTTCTATGTTCATTTTCAGAACAGAATTATATCACTTCTTCCAGGCACCTGAGAAAGTAGGCAGATGCTCAGTTAGAATACTTTTTTGTTTCAAACATTAATCTTTGTGCAGGAAAAAAAATTAAGATTGCACAGTAGCACCTTGGATTGGAAAAGGTTAGAAATTCTTGTGAAATCAGGAATACATCTTACTGATATATTTTAAAGGCATTAAATCCATTGAATTATATATCATTTTACTGAAACCTGTAACTTATCTATACAATGCACAATTCTCAAGGACATACCTCTTTCAGTTGCACTGATGAGCTTTCTTTACAACTGCAAGACTTGTCTTCTTCTTCCTGTGGCTCCACAACACTGCAGCTAGCTTCAGAATTTTTCACAGCCATTGTATCTTGCACATCTTTCATACTGCATTCTAAGCAAGAACTTTCATTTTCTACCAGCAATATTCCAGATGATTCTTCCTGGGAATCCAGAGATGTCTGCGCACTCTTTTCCATCCCACATTTTTTTAATGTAGGAAAGAACTTTCCAGACTCAAGTTCTAATTTCCCATAATAATGCCCTTCTTTTTCTGCATCCTCTTCCAGTGGTTTGAGATCTGCTTGTGGATCATCAAATGGTTCAGCTTGAGAAGAGACAATATTCCCCTCATCTTTCTCCGATTCAAAATCAGATTCACTTCCACCACATGGAGAAAGTTCAGATGCAGAAATGGGGCGAAAGTGAGTCCTAGGAGAAATCCGTATTGCTCTGTACTGCGTCCTCCCAGCACCACATATTCTAGGGCGAAAAGCGTCTCTGTCAGAATCAGAGCAAAGGATTGATTTGGGTTTAAAGCAAGGGCTGAAGGATGTAATTCCTTCTGGTTCAAATGTACATTCGACATGAAGAACTTGTGAAAATGGATTATTTAGGTCAAAGGAAGAGAAAGAATATTCAAGACCAGACTCTTCACCTTGAAAATTACTGCAAGCTTCTAACAAGTCTTCATGGAAGATAAAAGAAAAACCTCTATTTAATCCATGATCACCACATTTCAAATGCTCACTCTGCTCAAATGATACAAAAGGTCTCCATAATTGTCTGTGACCAGGAGTAAAGCTATTTCCTGGTGTCATAAAGACATCTGTACCAGCTATTGTGACTACATCAGAAGCTGCACACTGTAGTAAGTTTCCTTTTGGGTGATTTGGGGGCACTATTGCCCATTCTGCATCACTGTTGAAAGTTTTCAGTTCCCCATACACACCACCAAGAATAAATGAACTTTCTTTATCTTGGTTAACATCCCATGATTTAGAGGGTGTAGTATAATCTCCACAATCTACTTCTGATAAATTGGTTGAAGCAAAGCCTCTTTTCTCTAAATTTTCTTTCTGACCTTCCCAAAGGTGGTATTCTGATCTTTGCACTGCTTTGTTTGGACCTTGGAGAATTTCTACCTTTGCATCATTTAAGCAGCAACAATAATGATTTACATCAGTTGGAAACAGTTCCTCTTCTATTCCTTCTATTTCTATAATTGCTGCAGAATTTTCATCTGTCATATTTGTCCAGATATCTTTCATAACTCCTGAGCCATAGTCATCTTCATGCGGGCTACTGTCACTACATACTTGTGGAGTCTCATATTCTTTATCTTCTGTTTTTTGTTCTAACTGAATACCACAGACAGATTCTAATTTTGACTTTTTTGTGAAAATTAAAGTAGGTATTTCTCCTAAAGATCTTGTCTGTTCCTGGCAGGTTTCCTCCTGCAAAAAATCTACAATTTCTTCATCTATGTAACTTGAAGATACCCTGGGAACTATATAATTAATATCATCAGAGTTAAATTGAGGGGATTCTTCAAGTGGAATATTTAAAGTTTCATTGTCTGAACGTGTTTCTTCAGAATATGACCATGGACTACAAGTTCTTGTTGACAGATTAGAACAGTGTTCATTTTCATCAAAGGCACTATTTTTGGTCCATATTAACAATCTTGACTGTGTTTTCCCAAACATACCAACATTGCTACTAGAATCTGTATTTTCATTTCCCAAATTTAGTTTTTCAAAAGGAAATGGTAAAACAGAATTACTGCATTGCACTTCAAACACTGAAAAAGAATTTAAACCAGACCCTTCATTAGTATCTGAAAACAGCTCTTGATTGCCTGCAAGCATGTATGAATTAAGCATTGTGCTGTCTAAGGATGGGGAAAGTCTAACAGGAGAATCTCCCCCAAAACTTTCCCCATCTGCATCACCAGAGCTAGAAGTTGAACAGCACTCCCAAAATTGAGCTAAATTACTAAGATCTTGCAAGAACCACCCTTCCGCACCAGAGGTGGCTGAATCTGCCCATATTGCACTTTCCCCTTTCAATTCCATTCCATCAAACACTATGCAACATTCTGCCTCAAAATCAGTTCCTTCTCTGCTTTTCTGCCGAATCATATTCAAAATCCGACTTTCTCCTTGCATCTTGCCTGAGGCACCAGAATCCAACATGGATTGATCAATATCCACTTCATAGAAGTGTGTTAGTTCTGACAGATGAACACCATCTAAATGTATATCGTCCTCTGGTGGAGAACATATTGAGGTCCTAGTGAGGCCAATATCCTCATTTAAAACGGCAGGCATTTCCACAAAATGACCATCAATGAAAGTACCTGCTGCGAGGTATGTTTTATTAATATTATTGTTGTTACTAATGCAAAGACCTTGCACTGATTCAGCTAATTCTTCTACAGCCTCTGATGTTGCATCACATACATCTTCTTGCTTGTTGCGGTATGTCGTCTCAAGCTTACTTTTTCTAGTCAGGGGAACAAAATATTCTGTAATTGGCTCAGTATACCACAAAGGCTCTTCCTTATACTCAGTTTCATTCCTGCTATCAAAATATAGCTCTTTTCTCTCATGGTTTCCACCTTCTTTTCGTCTAATTTCTTTTAATGGCCGTTTACCTCTTTTATATAGTTGCTTGATGGAGCCATTGCTGCTGCCAGGAATTTTCCTTTCAGTTTTTTCACCAGCTTTTGGCAAATACTTACTTTGTCCATTCCATCCTTTTTTACCCCGAGCCTCCCTTGTTTTATGCCTTATTTTTACATATTTTGTAGCTGCTTTTAATTCACCATGATTGCCACTAGAATTTGAACCTTCTTCACTGGAGCCAGAAGACCAGGATCGAAGACGTATCTTCCCCTCAGATTTATGTCGGAATTGCTTTTTGTATGAAACAGATTTTCCTTCAATACGATTTCCAAATTTATTCTCTTTTTCATCTTTGTCATTCTTCTCTGTGGCTCTCTCCTGTATAGTTACAGATGCTTTGTTACTATTTCTCTCTTTGGATGCTTCATTTTCACTAATGCAGTCCTTTGGAGATGATGTATCTGTGCTAGTTGCTGGGACAGTGGAAGATGAGGAGGTACTGGAGTAAGAACACATTTTGGATTTATTCCACACAGTCATGATTTCTTGCAGGCAAACTGGTTTCTGGGAAAGAGGTGGAAAAGCCTCATAATACCTGAGAGAAAAAAAGGATAAACATGCAGTGTCATGTTTTGGAGAATCAGACAAAAAGGCAGTTTCAAGACCAACTAAACATTAATGGTTTTACTATCAACATTCACTTTTATTATTTTTTATGACCTATAATGTTTTAAAACACAAATCTTACTAATCAATATATTATTTAGCTCATCTCTAAGGAAAAAATAAACTATTACTATACTTCAAAAACTATTAAATAGTTAATAAGTTAAATATTGTCACTGTAGTTAAAATAAAACAAAATATGATTACACACTTTTTCCAGTAAATATTAATACACAGTTGAAATATTCTATTTTTATTTGCTATCTGGGGATAGGTAATTCAACATTTCTGTTGAGCGCCACGTTGGGAAAGGTAATTTTCCTCCTTTTATATAAGAATAAGCTTGGTGGTTGTTCAACAGATAAACTACAGAATTCTAACAATTATTTTCAAATCGACTGAAATGGGCAGAACAGTATAGGTCTTTTACAGAGACTGAGAGAGACTACAAGATAAAATAGAGTTGCTCTGCAATTTTTGAACAGATTCATAATATAACTATGAATAAATAGTTTGTTTCCTCTTGCTTTGGTGTTTTGTACTGGGATCCTGTGAATGACTGAGACGATTGAATTGTTGGTCTAGGACCAAAGCTGCATATGATAAACTGTTGCACCCCTTCACAAACTGCACTGATGGCCTCATCATTCAGAGCTGGCTAATTCTGGAGTGGTATTTCTTGATCTGGCTCCATTTCACTGCTTACCAGGTAAAAACTCTTCAGTTCTCAAGATTTCCAAATGTTGTAGTAACATTATAAGCTTACATTGCTAAGGTTGTTGAGGACTGATTTGACGGTGTGCTTGAAACATCTACTAGCCTTTGGCATGGTCAAGACCATGGCAACAAGCTCATTATTTAAGCGGTGTGTCTTCTAGTTCTTATTAATCTTAGCAGGGGATCAGTAAAATTAATACTACCATGTTTCCCCAAAAATATGCCCTACTCAGAAAGTAAGTCCTAGCTTGATTTTTACATGTGCACCCAATATAAGCCCTATCCCCCAAAATAAGCCCTAATTAAGACCCCCACCCACTCCAGGGTGCACAGGTAAAAATTAAGGTAGGGTGGGGATGGGGGGGCGTGGAGCTGCCCTACTACTTACCTTCAGATAGTTGCAGCCAGGTCTTGCACACTTTGGCCCATTTGTTTTGCTGTAGCCAGCAAGGCTTTCCTGAAGGCCTCTGTAGCCAATAACAAGACAGATCGATCCAGAGCTCTGTTATCGGCTACAGAGGCCTTCAGGAAATCGTTGCTGGCCTTGCCCGAAGAAGAAGTTCCTGAAGGCCTCTGATAGTGAAAAAGAGGCCGGAGGCGACGCACATAAGTGAGGTGAGTCAGTGGATGACATCCCCCTGAAAATAAGACCTGGTGCCTTTTTTGGTGGCAAAACAATAATAAGACAAGGTCTTATGTTTGGGGAAACACAGTAGTAAAATCATCTCTCACAGAAGGCCTTCCTTCCAGACCTAGTAACTTGAGGAGTCAGCTACATTTTGTGCTTTTTCTCACTCAACCATTCTCACTCAGCCACTCAGTTTTCAGCCATTGATTGTGTCAAAATGTTCTTCCCAAATCAGATTCATATTGAAATTATTCTACACTGGAAGTTGGATATGTCAAACATACTAGAGTTACTGTCATGATAAAACTGCTAGCAATGCTACTGACCATACCAACTTATGTATTGTATACTCTAAAGCAATTCCACCTGTTATCAGATTCATGCATGTAACAGAGCCTTAAATTATGAACATTAACTAAAGTTTGTAATTAACAACAAATAATTGCACAATTCTGCCCTGAAAAAAGCATGTAAAATAAACCAAAAATTATTTTTCCAAGAGTATTTGTATTGCTTGCACTCTGTATATCCCTTTCCCTCTGTCTAGGTGCCTCCATAGAGTTGACAAGATGTCAGGACAGAATGCTGTGGTGTTTCTAGGTTGTGACACGCTTCTCTACTCCCCCAGGTTATGAATCTGCGTCTCATTATTTCACTAAAAAAACAATTTCACAATAAAAACCTGAAGATATATGTGTTACTGTTGAGGATAAAAATCAATGTCATCACTCACTAAATGGAAAAGAAACTATATTGGAATGAAAACAGTTTATCCAAACTAATACTAATTTTTTTTAAAAAAAAAAGTTTAATGATCAGTTAAAAACATTTTAATAAAAAATGATAGCTTGAATTCATTACTTCATGGCTAATACCACTACAGAAAATATGTGTGCTTTTCCAATTTAGAAGAATAAAATAATTAAGAGGGTGTTTTTTAAGAAATGCAACATACATTTCTACTTGATCTTTTGCTGCTGGAGATAAATCTATTTCAGGAGGCAAAGAGTCCTCAAGTCTTTTTGAAATCTTCTCCTCCGCTATTAAAAAAAAAGTCAGTACAAAAATCTGATCAGACTCATTTTGAAATAAATACAAATATACAATCATCAATTCCATATTCTGGCCCACAAGCTTATGTTAAGAATGTATACACTGAATTTACAAATGGATTAATTACATCATCCACATTTTTTAACAGTAAACTATTTCATCTATCTGGATATTAGTAGAGCAGTTATTAAATTAGTGACAAAGCTCTCACACAGTTCTAAACCATGAGTCGCATTATTTACAGTTTGTTGCAAAAGTACACAGTATATACTTAAAATAGTCACAACTAATTTTCTCAAAGCTTTCCAATAGGACCAAAACAAAATATTATTTCATTATGATCGCTCGAAGGAAATTTTGAGAATAATTAAGTTTCTTAATTAGTGGTGTGGTTGCGCAGTGGTTAGAATTCAGTATTTCAGGCTAATTCTGCCAACTGCCAGCAGTTCGATCCTGACTGGCTTAAGGTTGACTCAGACTTCCATCCTTCCAAGGTCGGTAAAATGAGGACTCAAGTTGTTGAGGGCAATATGCTGACTCTTTAAACTGCCTAGAAGGGGCTATAAAGCACTATGAAGCAGTATATGTCTAAGTGCTATTGCTATTGATAGATATTTCTCACATAAGAGTGCAATTAGCTTTACATTTCTCTTTTTATATTACAGCATGATAAATACAGAATTCTGAACTTAAATATTGTTTGAGGGATCAAAGTATAACTAACCAAAGTAACCTATTGTCACTGAAATTATTTCTTTATATATCAAAGTAACTGTAATATAAATAACATGAGGGTAATGCATATCAACCAATGAATGGTGGCTTAGTGGTTTAAAAGATGCCAGAGAATGTCTGTGCTCTGGTGGTTCAGGTCCTACCATTGCATTACAGAGTGAGCTCCCATCACTTGCCTCAGCCCCTGCCAATCTAGCAGTTTGAAAGCATCTAAACGCAAGTAGATAAATGGGTACCACTTTGATGGGAAAGGTAAGAATGCTACATGTTTTGCCGCATGCTCTGCGCTATGGTGTGATGTTATGCTGGCCACATGACTGTGAAAGACAGCACTGACTCAATGACCTAGAAATAGAGTTGAGTACTGCCCCCTAAAGTCAGCTATGACTAGCAGTGTAAAATCTGCAGGGACTCCTTTACCTTTACTTTTTATCCAACTCATTTTAAAGTATGACCATTCAACTATAATCTGTTGAATTATTTAGAATGAGTTGTGTTCTGATGGAACAACCCCCCTATTTTTCTCTCAAGATGGCAAGACTGATTCTTTTGCTTCTCTAAAGCTAGTCATATCAAGCATATCAAGATTGGAGAGTAAACCTAATGACTATAAATTATGACCTGAAGATTTTAAATGACTCATCTCTTGGGAATCTCACCTTCCGAGCCCCATGGGCACCATACTATTGATTACATACTAATATCAACATGTATTCTTCGACTCTGAAATAATCCCTTGCCCTGATAGTAACCACTTCCCTATAGTGAGATTGTTTAATTTTAATCATTTAATTTCAACATTTCACCTAGCATCTGGTTCAACCTAACTCAGAAATAAAAATAGTCTTTAGTTAAGTGGCTTACTGCAAGAGCTGCACTAGCCTCCCATTTCTTTAGCTTCTTCCAAAGCTTTATTAAACAATTAATCATGTCAGTGATTGATGCCCCAAAAGCATTAAATACTTTCCAAGCATTTCATCTCGGATTCCCTGACTGTGCCCCCCCTCCCATTACTACTGCAGAAATCCACAACTTGATCTCCCAAATCTAATAAAGGGACTAGAGGGGACTTGATACGAGAATGATAGTGCTGTGTATTGGTATCATTTTTTACACATATGATTTCTATGCAGATCTCAATGAAAGGAACCACTCTGTAAAATCCCTATTTTTAAAAAGGCATACAAGTTTAATCCAGCTAAATACTGTCCAGTCAGTATTAAGTATAACAAGCAAATTATATGCCAAGCATATCTATAAAAATCTAATCGATTCAGAGACAAATCCTAACCACAGAACAAACTGGCTTCAGGCCAGGATTTTATATTTCTGATCAAGGCACCACACTCCAGCTTAACATGTTCCAAGAAATCTCATCCCAAAATGAAATCTCACCTTGTTCACTCTGGAGATCTTTTAGCCTGGAACAAAGTTCCTCAACTAATGTCTCAATCCCAGAACTCTGCAATTAAAAAAAAAAAACTAAACTGAATTATTTATAGCTGAACTTTCATAAAATGCATGTCATGCAGTTGCAGTAAAATTAAAATATATTTTTCTTCAATTTTATATCACTGATTTCATCTAAATAGATATACAAATTATTGATCTCTAAATAACGGGAAGATTGGTCTTAAGGCCAAAATAAAATTGATGAAGAGAAGAGTATATTGTTCCAAAGGTGCTTTTAAAAAAGCAACTGGACTTTTTTTATTTTTCTTGAAGACGTTTTACATCTTATCCAAGAAGCTTCTTCAGTTCTAACTAACTGGTGGGGAATAGAAAAGATTTATAGTCTTTGTAGTCAGCTAGCTGATTAACACTGAGGGTCCGTTGAAATCACCTGGGTCCTCAGAAATCATCTGTGTCCTCAGAGCCCACCAGAATAAGAATGCAACAAGTGTGGAACTGTGAATTGAGAAGACACATGGTATTGTATCCCTCCCCCTCCCCCCTTTTAACATAAATAGCATCTTTGATTCCTCTTTCAAGCCAGTTGTTCTGTCCAGAATGTAAACCTAGCTGTCTTCAAAGGAGTGGCCCTTTTCTTTCAGGTGCAGATGGACTGCTGAATTCTGTCCTGCTGCATTGGTTCTTCTGTGTTTGTACCATGCTTTGTGTAATGGTTGTTGTTTTGTTTCCCCAGTGTACAGGTCTGCCTCACTGCACTGTTCTGAATATTCAAAATTACTGTTTGTGTCTGGCTGTTTTGTCATTGGCGTGCACTAGCTACTATCTTAGTGTTCCTGGTTTAAAGTGTGCATGCATGTTGGGTTTGTTGAAAATCCATGTGAGCTTTTCTGATATTCCTGCAACATATGGAATCATAACGATGCTCCATTTCTTTTCTTCTCTGTTAGGGAACAACATTCCATTTGTTGCAGGAATATCAGAAAAGGACCATTAAGGATCATGTTGTTCCTTAGAAGATTTTAATGTGACATTTGCTTCAATTCAATGCCAATTTCACAGAGGCAACCCTAAATAAATCCTCCTGTCTGTATTTTGAATACTAAAAAAATTAAGAACCGAAGTAATTAATTATAACATACATAGCAATGATACAGTTAAGAAACAATGGTCTATAATTATCTAGTAGCATATAATAGCTCCATTAGTAATTTAATGTCTATATTTTTAATCTATAATGTATAAGCAGACATAAAGCTTCCCAATAACAGGTAGTAATTGTTCTACCAATTTTTTATTAGTCTGATCCCACTTTGAGTACTGTACTGGGTGGTACGCTTAAGAAGGATTCAAGCAAACTGTTTCAGAATGCCAGTGCAGATTATCAGAATATTAGCAACCGATTCTTATGAAAAGATCTAGAAATATTTAGTCTTCAGGAGAGAAGCATAAGGATAGAGATGACAGTTACTTAGATTTGCCTAACATAAGCAGCCTAAAATATTTGTAAAAAAATATTGAAAGGCTGCCATATTTAAGGGGGGATGAGAAACCTGCTCTTTTATCATTTCAGAGGAAAGAATAATGGGTTTATGTTACGGGAAGGGAGGTTTTGATTGAATATTACAAATAATTTCCTAATATTTACAACAAATGAGCTATATCAGTGATCCCCAACCTTTCTAGCTCCATGGACCGGCAGCAGCAGTTGGGGCAGTGGGGGGGGGAGATGGTTTTGTGCACGCATCCTAGCTCCTGCGCATGCGGAAATGAAACTTCACAGACCTGTCTGCCACTTGCACAGCCCAGGGGTTGGGGACCCCTGAGCTATATAATCAATTATCCAGAGAAGCAGTAGCTCTCTTATACTGGATCTATTCAAGCAGAAGCTAGCAAACAGTTAATGTTTGGCTTAAATGGGACTGATGATTTATGACCACAATTGAGCCCAAAATTTCCATTGCCAAGCAAGATAGTTATTAAGTGAGTTTTGCCCCATTTTATGTTTTTTCCTGCCTGAGTTGTTAAATGAATCACTGCACTGTATTGTGAATCTGGCTTCTCCATTGACTTTGCTTGTCAGAAAGTCACAAAAGGTGATGACCTCAGGACACTGCAATAATCATAAATTGCCAAACGTCTGAATTTTAATCAAGTGACCATGGGGGCACTGCAACAGTCGTAAGGGTGAAAAGTGTTCACACTAGAGCCGAGGTGGCACAGTAGTTAGGGTGCAGTACTGCAGGCTACTTTGGCTGACTGCTAGTTGAAGTTCGGCAGTTCAGATCTCACCAGCTCAAGGTTGACTCAGCCTTCCATCCTTCCGAGGTGGGTAAAATGAGGACCCAGATTGTTGGGGGCAATATACTGACTCTGTAAACTGCTTAGAGAGAGCTGTAAAAGCACTATGAAGTGGTATATAAGTCCAAGTGCTATTGGTAAGTGCTATAAGTCATTGTTTTCAATGCCATTGTAACTTCAAAGTTACTAAATGAATGGTTGTAAGTCGAGGACTACCTATACACATTTTTTATGGTTTCTTTGAATCAGTGTTGCCTCCAAGTGACTGCTAGATAAGTTTCTACACTTTTCTTGGCAAGATTTCAGAAGTGATTTTCCCATTGTCCACTTCCTAGGGTTGAGAGAGAATGATGGGCCAAAGGTCACCCAGCTGCCTTTGTGCCAAAGGTGGGACTAGAACTGATGGTTTCCCGAGTTCTAGCCTGATGCCTGAGCCACTACACTAAACTCTCTCTCTTACAAATAAATTTAAAACAACCCAGAAGTTACTCCTCTTTCTATAATATAATACACTTTCCATAATTGAATACAATATGCAAATAGAAAACATAACGCTATAATAAAAAGAAACAAAAAGAAACAAAAAGAAATATAGAATACATTTTCATAGTTACATATACAGATATAAAAGTTCGACATAACTAGTTTACATCGGTAAGTGACTAATTTGTAAATTGCCCTTAACATGAACTCTGTACACCATTGACTATTTGTGGCTTTATTTTTTATCCTTCCTATCCTGAAGAATTAGTTGTAAGTGACTTTAAAGAATCTTTCTTTTCCAAATAGCAATTTCTTTGCAAAAGGAATACAATCCAAAAAATAAATTCTTAAAATTAGTGAAAGGTTATTCTGAGCAGTAGTTAAATTGTATCTTCCTTACTTTTACTTTCCATTTTTAAGTTTAAATTTTTTAAAAGTTTTTTTAAAATTTTAAATCTCATTATTTAAATTAATTTTATCAACAAAACATTAATGTGAAAACCTGAAGCTTTACCCATGTACAACAAAAGTAATGAGCATCTTAAGAACTGCTTAGGGTTTACTTGTGGTCAGCCTATTTTAATCCTTTTAGAAATGATTATGGATTTAAGTTTAATAAATGGCAAATGCAGAACTTAACATGTTCACATTAAATACAGATTCCATTCTATTCCATTTAAATATATTGAAAATTATTTCCAAAATAACAATTTTAACTAGATTTTTAAAAATGAACAAAATTATAATTTTATATCACAATTAAGAATCAGAATTTAAACATAACTAACTATATTGTTAGTCCTTACTTCATCAGAAGCAGAGCGAAGACATTGAACAGCAGCCTGTTTCTTCATTTCTTCTAGTGTAAGATCAGAGCACTTTTTCTTACTTTTCCCCCATTTTTTGTAAGCTCCTTTTTCCCAGCCCAGGAAGATGTCATTCTCCTAAAAAAAATTGAAAATCATAATAACTGTAATATTTTCTTGTATATTGTTTTTGCAACACTTAATAATTTTTAAGGAAGACACTTGAGGGAGTATGACTCTGGAAAGATTAACTACAGATATATATAGAGCCTATTTACTACAATTCTTGGTTTATATATTTGGGTATGGATAAATATATATATTCCATACCCCATCCTTCCAAGAGATTTCTCCAGTTTTACTATTTTTACTATTCAAAATGCAATGTAATATTAGTAATATTTATTGAAATTAGTAGTGGCAACATCTTAAAATAGCAGATAATAAAAGTGGGTAAAAACCAACTTACTGACGAGGAAAATTAAATTGACTTTATGCCAAAATGACACTAAAACAGGAACTATGCAGACTGTATTCCATTAACCAGAATATTAAACACCAAATAAAGAAGTTAATGAAACCAGCAACAACACAATGTTCACGTTAAATGTACAAGAACTGGAGAAAAAAGGACATGAAACAACTAAAAGCAAAAGTGGGGAGGGGGGGGAGATGAAAACACTCAAGTTGTCCTTAAGAGTCTCTGGATAAGCAGATTTTGCCTGAAATGGAAAGGCTAAAGTTGATATAATCCCAATCCAATATCATACTTATCATGAGAAGAACTAAAAAAACTCCCTCCATCCGTGTAACTGAAAATATTAGCAATTTTTCATTATGTCACAGCTCATATGTTGCCACTTAGTGACTGACTCCTTCTGCATGACAATTCAAAGACTATGGGCTTTTTTTACTCCCCAATGATCTCAAGTTGATAATTTTCCTCAATGAATAAACACATATAATATTTTGACTTATTTGCTTCACTGGGTTCTCTTTATCTAGTTTTAGAACTTGCAAGGAAAACAGATTATATTTGAGGCATATTTACATTTATGCAGAAATATTGAAAATTCAAAAGATTTCACAAACTTTTATGCACCAATGTAGATTGACCTTGCTAGTGAATGTGAGCGGACTCATATCAAAGATACACAATTCAACAGAAAAATCTCATGTATACTTCCTAGTCATCCAAACTACTGGCTCTCATTAGTTTGGATTATTTCTTCTATGGTTCAATCCTGCTTTTTTTAAAAATTACTTAATATACAATGGTATCTTAAGTCCTTTCTTCTTTCTTTCCTTTTCCCCTGAATTATATTATAACAAGTCTCCCTTTTCTTCAATGCACTTGAGCAGAAAAGAAGCCACGGCTTATCAGATGCTTGCAACATAAATTGTACCAGAAATATTGCTTCTACGCAAGCTAGGTGCTAGAAATTAAATTATACTATTTAAGACAATTAAAATAAGAAATAATATACTAGAAAAAGGTTAAACAAAGCTATATTAATGTATCAGAAAGACATACAGAGACAAAATGATAAAGCAAAGAGTTCTTTGGCATTTGGCTTTCAAGTTTCAAGCTTTCAAATTATCTATTTCCTCTGATTTTTCTATTTTATTCTATGGTACATGTAGAACTGATGTAGGAAAAGAAAGTAACAACAGATTCTCTGCACCTAATTTCTCATATAAAGCAGCAATTTTATATACAGAATAAGCATGCCAAATTACATCTCTGTACAACAATAAGCATCTCTATATTTACTAGGAATTGTATTACTTTCTGCAAAGTATAATGCAGTTGAAGAGATGGTTCCTTTGAGGAACAAGAGTTAAGATTTCTAGAAAGAAGCAGCAGAACAAATATAACTACTTATATTTTAACACCTGCAAAAGTAATCAATAAGCCGTATCAACTGAAATCCTGGAACACAGGATATGTATATGCAAATACCCCAAATAAAGCAAAAGCACATTTTGCAATTTGCATTGGTTGGCAATGTAGCCTATTTATTCAGCATTAAGGTGTGACAAGAAAGACATTTTCCTAGAGTCAAAACAGGGCTATGAAAGTAAGTGCTCAGTGCCTAAGAAAAAGCCCTACCAAATTTTTTCTGAGACCCTCCCTTAGCACTGCATAAGTCTTCCCCAAGAAGACTGCAGCACAGAAAGCAGAGATGAACTTGGAAGGGGGCAGAAAAGATGTAGCAGACAAGTGACATGTCAAACAATGTGTAAGCAAATATTTCCAAGAATGTTTGATGCTCATATCTGGAATTAAAACATGAACTTTACAATAAATTAACATTTAATTCTTTCCTACAAATTATGAAGAATTATAGAAAGTAATGAATGTGCTGCCCTGTTAGTTCAGAATCTAAGCCTTAAGAATGGTGATTGCAACACTGCATAATATTGAATACATGAGTGCAGCTTTTAAATACATTTCCCAGCCATGATCTTCTTTTTACGCATGACAGCAAAGCAATAAGGGCTAGGACTTTAGGCCAATGGGAGGCTTCAAACTGGAACGTGCCCTGACTGACGAGCCATGGGACAATTCACTGTGGGATAACTTGCTGTAACCAACTTGCCTCAGGATAACTCAAGAGAGGGACAAGTAGAATTGCAGCTCACTCTAGCCTCAAGGACTTCTAACCTGAGAAGGTTCAACCCTAAAGCAAGACAAGGCCTGCTGCAATTCAATTGTCCCTCTCTTGAGTTATATCACATTGAATTGTCCCATGGTGAATTGGCCGGGGCAAGTCGGCCACAGCAAGTTTTTCCTAACTCCTTCACAACTCAGGTACTCACAAAACATTATCTGAAGAGTATCATATAAAGGATGGTGTGGGAAACCTAATATAAGCCAATATAGTGATAATAGCATTCTTGCGACTTTTAAAAAAAAATATTTTAAGGAAGAGCGATTACTCACATAATATTGTAACCATAGCTTTTCTAGACCATCATAAGTTAGTCACTTATATGAATGGTCTAATAAATGAGTAGTTACAAATGAGAAGTTTTTCAATGAGCAGTTAAAAAACAGAAAACTAACATGAAAACAATACAAGATAATTAATATATAGCACAGTAAGATCTGTGTTATAAATACATTATATAACACTAGGGATGTGTTATAAATCCCTAGTGCTGCATAATAGGGTGAGCTCCCATTACTTGTCCCAGCTTCTGCCAATCTAGCAGTTTGAAAGCACGTAAAAATTGCAAGTAGAAAAATAGGGACCACCTTTGGTGGGAAGGTAACAGCGTTCCGTGCGCCTTTGGCATTTAGTCATGACGGCCACATGACCACGGAGACGTCTTTGGACAGCACTGGCTCTTCGGCTTTGAAACGGAGATGAGCACTGCTCCCTAGAGTCAGGAATGACTAGCACATATGTGCGAGGGGAACCTTTACCTTTACAGTAAGAGCAAAAAGCATAATTCTACATCCCAATACAGAACACACAATTTATACAATTTAAATACAAAGCATAACAATGCTTGGGAGAAAAAAATGTTTTAGGTTCCCAATTAAAAATACCTGGACATTTCGTTAGCAAAGTCCCTTCGCTAAAAAAGCCACCAATCTCATTTCACTTGAACAAAGTTTTCAGTTTTCTCTCAATAACTACTTTTCTACAAGGTGGGCAATATTTAGCTTTTGATCTAACTTTAGAAGGTCTCTGCAATTAACCATTCAAGATTTCTACCAATTGGAGAAGAAAAAGCCCACCCAGCTCTGAATTCTGCCCTCCTGACTGGGGCGTGTCCCCAACGGGAAAAAAGGTTTCCCAACTGTGTTTCACAACATAGAACAAAGCACTTAACCTAGCTTCAGGAATATACTATTCATTTAATATTTTTGAGCAGAAATACATATTGTAGAGCTTTTAAAATGAATAGCTTAAATGAAAAATACAAAACACAAAACCAAGCACAGTGGTTTTCAAAACATGTCTATTCAGTAGTCTACTTGTTAGCTAGCTAAGAACCACACATATTTTGAGATGCAGGGTACAAAGCACATTCCCAAAGTAATTTCAGTTGTTTAGTCCAGATTTCTCCTACTTCCAAATAAATTGGGACAGGAGAGAACTGCTGGAGTATTTATTCAGATTTTTTAAAAAGCTGAATATGCATACACAAAAAGACACTAATATGTATGCCCACACACCTTGATATATGCACACATTAATGCACACATAATATTAGATGGGGTGGGGAGCAAAGAAAATCCAATTAAAGTGGTGTATGAAAGCTGTATGTGACTGAAATAGAATAAAAAAGCATTTGCATTTAATGAGTATAGGTAAATGACTAGAAAACAAATGGGAAGGAGAAGTACAGCAGGATGTGAAAGAACAGCAGGAAAGTTGTGGGGAGCTAAATGAAAGCAATGGGATGAGGTAGAGATGAGGAAGGGAAAAACACAGAATGAAAAAAGAAGGGGATATTAGCATTCTGCAGAGTACAGCACATGCAAAAAGAGAAGCTAGGGACAGTAATGAAAATGCTGCAAAAATAGAAGACAAGGAGGATGGGAAGATGCACCAAGGAATAAAAGAATTCAAGGGAATGGGAGCAAGGAGGGCAATGAGGCATTGGAGCACAGCAAAGTCAGGATAGTAGGACTGAATTGTAGCATAGCAGAATGGGGCAAAGGGAAAGAGAGGCATACCAGTGGGAATGTGGCAGGGCAATGGATAAAGCCAGTTTCTGCCCGCAGTTTCTAAACTCGTATAATTAAAGCATGATTTAAAACCGCAGCTTAGTACAGCGAAGGTAGACTTTTCTGTTCTTTAAAATTTTCTTTTTTAAAAGGATCTAAAAAGATTTAGCACAGTTCACGACAAATGTTTAAGACTTTTAAAATACAATGCCTTTCTAATAAAAGTAGCCCTCAACTTTTGACCACAATTGGACTCAAAGATAAATATGTTGCTAAGTGAGTCATTTGTTAAGTGAGTTTTGCCCCATTTTACCTTTCTTGATACAGTTATTAAGCAAATCACTGTAGTTGTTAATTACACAATTGTTAAGTGAATCTGGCTTCCCCAATGACTTTACTTGCCAGAAGGTCACAAAAAGTAATGGGACACTGCAACTGTCATAAATATGAACCAGTTGCAAAGCATTTGAATTTTGATCATGTGACCATGGTGATGCTGAAACTGTCATAAGTGTGAAAAACAATCATAAATCACTTTTTCAGTGCTGTTGTAACTCTGAACGGTCACTAAATAAATAGTTGTAACTTGAGGGCTATTTGTAGACATAGTACTACTAGACTTAAAAATCATGTTTCTTAAAAGGTATATCCTGTCTTCCAAATTGTAACACAAATTATTTTTGAAGTTCAGTTTTACAAAGGCCTTCTGTGATTTGTCATGATGGTTATTTTATCAAATAGCCCACTGAGTATATCTAAATTTTGGGATATGCTTCAAAAGTCCTGTTTCCTGCTCTAAAAATATGAAACCATGATGTATTATTTATTATAATAACATACACAGATAATTTAAAACATACTTATTCTTTTAATCAAGCACATCTAAAATATGTAAATACCTGTTCCTGCAGATCGTAGTCATAATTATCATGCAGCAGAAGACTGAGGACATAGCGAGTATAAATCATGGCATCAATGCCACATTTTTCTAGCTCTTGTCCCAGCCAAGTCTGCACAGGGCCCAAAGCCTGAAGCAGAGACATTTCTGAAACAGATACAGGACCCAGACAGGAGCTTGAGGAGCTTTCAGATGGCAAACCATCCACAACAACTGTATAGACTAGGTGCATGAATCTAGGTGGCTTTCATCCTTAGAACATGAAGCATTTTCTGTAGATGATATTCCGTGGGAACCTGGAGGTGGATATTTTCACTCCAGTACAGAGGAGACACGCTTGACATCTAGGACAATCATTTATATTTGCTGGCAGTTAACAGTCTAAAGACAAGACCCACTCTTCAGGCATAACCAGAGTATACTAAATCTTAACAGGAAACACATGTTTATGTGCATTTTTCTACCTTAATTTCACATTGAAGCCAGATGTAAATCCCCAGCAGGACCTATAAAAAGGGGAAAAAAGAAATTGTGACTTGTATTAAGAAAACAGATAGCAATTAAGAACACACACACTCTCTCTCTTTCTCTCTGATGCACTGCAGTAATCAAACTTGGCTTCCTATAAATGGACGCATACAATAAAAGACAAGCCTCACAGAAAGAATTAGGCATGCACCTGCTTAGAATGCGGAGAAGTTAGAATTTTTAAAAACTTGAGCTTCTTCCAAAGCACTTTTTTGTCTTTTCAACATTTAGAAATACAACCTATGAATACATTCACCATTTTGGAACTCACTAATTTTCATGCACCCCATGTTACATTAGCAGTAAGCAGTGAACATGCTTATATCTTATAATAGATGCAATGTGAATAGAATTTTAGTACAATGGCAGTGCCTTGTTAGTTAAAGGAACTACAACTATAATGTGTGAAAGTACCACACAAAGAGAAAAAATGTCAATCTAGTCAAAACTCTGCTGCTACCGTATTTTCCGGCGTATAAGACGACTGGGCGTATAAGATGACCCCCGACTTTTCCTGTTAAAATATAGGGTTTGGGCTATACTCACCGTATAAGACTACCCCTCTTCCAACGCACACCAAATAAAAATTAAAAAACATCAACTGGCTCACCCACAATGTAAAAGCAGCTGTACTAGACCCAAAATGGCCCCTGCAACAAGCAGGAACCTCACACAGCCACAAAAAGCCCCAAAAAATAACTTCCATACTTTACACACACAAAATTCCACATACAGCTTTGTGAGATTTTGTGTGTTTGTGTAGTTAGAGTGAAACACTACAGAAACACACTAAATCTCTGAAAGCTGCACAAATATTATTTTATTTTTATATGAAAACTAAATTTAAAACTTCCTAAATTTTAAATAGCTAGATCTAAAAAAGAACAACTAAAAAAAACCCCAATTAACTATTTTTTTAAAGCTCCCAAAGGGGAAAAAAACTTACCCAATAGAATAGGGGTCTCCAACCTTGACAACTTTAAGACTTGTAGACTTCAACTCCCAGAATTCCTCAGCTAGCTTTGTTTTACTGGCTGAGGAATTCTGGGAGTTGAAGTCCACAATTCCTGCCTGCTTCATTGCAGGCAGGGAGTGGCTTGCTGATGGAATGGATTCAGGCAAGCGAAGCAAGGCAAGGGTTGCGATTAGCAGCTAAAGTAAGCAAGCTGGAGGGGGAAAACTTTTTTCCTTTTACAGGGCTCTGGCATCCCAGCTGAGTTGCCTGATTAGCAGGCAAAGCTGGGATCGCCAGAGCTTAGATCGCCAGAGCCATTTAAGGCTCGTCAAGAGTCTTTCGGGCTGGTCTGCCTGGTTACAGGAGAACGACACCCGGCGTATAAGACGACCCCCGACTTTTGAGAAGATTTTTATGTGTTAAAAAGTCGTCTTATACGCCGGAAAATATGGTAAATTAATAGTTTTAGAAATATTCATTTATATAAAAAATGAAGTTAGTTAATGATTGAGAGCACAGAATTATGCAGCTATGATTCCCTAACAGAATATTTGGAGCATTAATTATGTCATAGTATTGCATGCTCCACTGTGCTAGACAATAATCTCACAATCCTAGCTCTAATTCTAGAATGTTCTATTCCTCCTTTATACTATGTCCAGCACACAAAAAAACTCTTCCAGTTTGAAGGGTTAGTTTCTACCGGTATAAAATCACTTAGCCTGGCATGGTCTGGAGACTGGCATGGTCTGGAGAAGGAATTGAATGACTGCCCTTTTTTTTTAAACTTCCTATGCGTAACATCTTAATAATTAATTTTCTAATGTCTGAAAACTATGAGAGAAACTATGAGAGAAAGCTCAGCTTTCCAGTTCTAAATGTATATTGAAATAAAAGATGGTGCAGATAATTAGTTATATCTTAGGATTTTAGAAATTGTCAAAACACAGAAGATACATCAGATATGTATGAATTTACAAAAAGGCTGCCAACTACAGTATATGCCCATTTGTGAAAGCCAGTCATCTATCCAAAACAAGCTGCTATTGCAGGACAACCTTGGTGGGATCACTACTGATAACCTAGTGAGCAATGTCTTCAACACTAGGGAATGACAATCAGTTCATTATTCCATTTGCCCTGAGCAATCATCTCTGGAGTTTGATAGCAACACTAACTACGGCAACAGGCCTGACATCTACTAACAGGATTATACCAAAAGAGGTTTCTCTATTGTGAGAGAACAAGGGGAATGGCCACTCAAACGTTTCTATCTCCAGCATAGGGAGGGGCTGAGGTATCTGACTTTTACAGGTAATCCTCGATTTAGAACCATTTGTTCAGCGACAATTTGAAGTTACAATGGCATTGAATGAATGGTGGTTACAACTGTCTTTGGAGTTTTGGATATCCATGAAATCATGTTCTTGGCAACTCATTTGCATTTACACGACAGCCATTTGCAACCTTCCATGCTGACTTCTCCAGAAAATTAAAAGGGAAGCTGGGCAGGGAAGACTGCAAGTCGCTGGGATAATCTCCCCCACTTGTGCATCCCTTCAGCCCCTCTGTGATTGCACTGTGCTGGCACTTGCACACCCCTGTACATCCTTCCTAACCCATGCAGCGCCTCTTACACATTCCTGTGTACTCTCCCCAACCTGTGCAACACTTGTTAAGATACCCCTTGCAACCTCCCTAACCTGGACATCTTGTGCACACCTGTGCACTCTCCTTGACCCCCCTAAGTCCCTTTCACATGCTCATGCATCCTTCCTGGCTTCCCCCACATCTCTGAGCACCCTCTTGTTTCCTCTCCCACCCAGCAATATCCACTTACTTGCCTACGTGCCTGGAACTTGCAAAATCGTGTTAGCTTACCCACTGACTTTGGTTGTGGAAAGCCAGCAGGAAATTGCCTTGCCTAAAGGTTGCACAATTCAGTTAATGATGGGAATTGGAACTGTAGGAATAGCCATTGCTAAGTGTACTGTATCACTTAGCAACTGAAAGTCTATCCCAATTGCTGTTGTAAATTGAGGATGGCCTATATATCACAGAGCACGTACAGATTATTTTCAAAAGATTTCCCAGTTCCAGAATTGTGTACATCTATTAATGCCAAAAAAATTATACTCTTTTCTGAAGCTTTAGTAACTTAGGGCCAGGGAAGTACTGTCAGAGAAAGGATAGTTAATCTTTTCCAACTCTTATGCTGCAATTCACAATTTTCTCATACTGACATTAAGTTTTTTAAAAAATCTATTAGTATCAATAAAAGCTATTTCTTTAAGTTTAACTATCATAAATTTGTAGAGAGGAGGAGATCCTCAGCACATGTCCATATAAGAGTGCTAAATTTCTTTTCATGTTATATTCTCCTCCTTAGATACTGTCCTTATTGCCAAGGAAGGAGAGAGAGGTACAGCAACAAATCAACTTTCCCACAGGTAATCCTTGAGGTACAAAATGGCATTTAATGAATGTTCTAAATTACAATCAACCCCTCAAAAGCTACTTATGACCCCATTTCAAAATTATGATGGCTGCAGCGGGCCTGCAATCATTCATCCTTATGACCTACCATAAGGTCACTGCAGCACCATCCCACTTCTCTTCCATCCCACCCGACCGGATGCCTGTAGTGTTTGGACCTCCTCCCCACTCGCCATTGCCCCACACTTACTTTCTGCAACCTCTCAGGACCTCATGTTGTGGAAGAAGGGCAGGCCATGTGTCCTCAGGCCACACTGCAGCAAGCCAAATGTGGCTGCCATTTTATCCCCACACAGATGGATGGGGACAAAATGGTGGCTACCAGACAGACTGCTTTATTTTGTTGTTGTAGAAAGCATCTGCAGCACAATGCAGAGCTTGTTAAGGCAACAAAATAAAGCAGTTTGTCTCTGGGCCGAGCAACAGTCACCCAAATACAGCTGCCATTTTATCCCTGCCCACAAAGAGGCGGGGACAAAATGGTAGCCACCAGACAAGCTGCTTCATTTGCTGCTTTAGAGAGGCTCCACAGTACTTCAGAAGCTTCTGAACACTGCTGAAAGCTGTTGCAATGCTGTGCAGAGCATGTTAAGGCAGCAAAATGAAGCAGTTTGTCCCAAGGCCCTGTGGTGGCGACCCAAATACAACCATTTTGTGGACAGGACTAAAACATGGCCGCTTTTGGAACTGTGCCACGTGGCCACACACACACACACACACACAGTCATCCCAGCACTCTGGAAAGCCTCAGACCTCTTCAAAATGTAAGTGGTGAGAAGAGTGCTTTGCTTGGTGGGGTGGGAATCAGGCCTAAGGCTTGGAAGACCTGGTAGGAGTGGGAAAAGGCCTATTGGGACCCAAGATGCAGGTGGAGCATGGGGCATCTTAGGGAGAGGGTTGGAGGGCCAGGCAGGTAAGCCTAGGCCTGTACTGGGCCTCCAACTGCCTTTTCCACCCTAAAGGTACCCCACACTTCACTTAAAGACGCACACATTCATTTTATTTTCATTGGGCAGATGAATTAACTTACTATTAAAGAGATCCTTTTTCAGGCTCATACAAAAACCTGAAAGTCTGACTGGTACAAAGAATAACAGAGATGTTATATTTATGGGAAAACACTTCTTCCATATAATTTCCAGAGCATTTGCAGCCCTACTGTTAAATGTGTTTTCTGCAAGCAAGCTGTTATGTAAAAAGCATGCACTGCACAAGTACTATCCAAAAAGAACAGAAGTCTAAAAAAAGGCAAAAACAAAACCTACTTGCCCCTCACAAAACCTCCCATGTGCCTCCATTACTATGGTCTCAGATAATCTAAGACAACCTTCAATTTTAATGATATATAGAACAACCCAAATCTTTTTGTTAAATAAATATAGCGTATGCAAAGATTTATGCTAACACACAAAGCACCACCCAGGATGGATTTGATTTAAATCAAGTTGATTTAAATCACAATTTAAATCATGATTTAAATCACTAGTAAAAAGGCTTCATTTAAATCAACTCGATTTAAATCATAATTTTTTGGAGTAACTGTCATCTCTGTCCCGTAGCGGCTCCTCCTCTGACCCGCTGTTGACTCACTGACAGTCCCATTCACTTTAATGGGATGGCGGGTGATATGGCAGTGACACAACAAGGTGAGGGACATGACAGGCAGCAGATGAGTGGATGCCCACTAGCAGGTGCTGCCATGATGGATCTGAAATGAAAGGTGTTCTTTAAATGTAAGGATTCATTCTTGCTGGTAGTTAGAATCTTTAATATTATTATTTGCAAACAAAATGAAGGTTTCCTATTTAGATTACAGAGCTTGAATTCATTGAATGAGTTTACAAACAAATGTAATTTTTTTTTTAAATTTGATTTATATGCCACCCTTCTCCGAAGACTCAGGGCGGCTTACAATGTGCTCAGCAATAGCCTTCATCCTTTTGTATATTTTATACAAAGTCAGCTTATTGCCCCCACAACTGGGTCCTCAATTTACCTACCTTAGAAAGGATGGAAGGCTGAGTCAACCTTGAGCCTTGGCGAGATTCGAACCCTGCAGTAATTGCAGGCAGCTGGTCTTAATAACCAGCTTAATAACAGGGTGCCTTAAACCCCTGTACTACCAAGGCTCTTAATTACAGAATATACAGCCTCATGCTACATAACTAAGCTCCATTTTATGCTGAATAAACTAAATTATTAATGTATCTTAAATAGAAAACTATCTTTAGATAGATTTTTACTCTAAAAGCATTTTATTAAAATAAATTTGATAAAAATAAAAAAAATCTGATTTTTAATTTTTTTTTAAAAAAAAACCATCTATTTTTATCCATCCTGGCATCACTTAATCTTAATTTTCTTAATTTTCAAGCGAAAAAAACCCCATAAAATAGTCTGACCGGTGAAAAAGGTTGGGGAAATCAATGGCCAAATTGATATGGAGTTTAAATTACTGCAGGATTTGCAATCCTGGGGATACTCCATGTCATTTATTAGTGAGGATATAAATATTACTAGCATAATGAACTTTTAAATATTGAGGCTGTAATGTCAATGGATGTCTGGATAAATGTCTGGATAAATATCTAGTCTTAGGGAAGTGAGATGTATATAGGCTGCTTTTGAAGTCTATTCAGCAAGATTGGTCTACCCATGAGATGGACCGATAAAATGTTCTGGTGAACCCTTCAGGTTCCTGCCACTTGCAGCTGCTAAATTAGCTTGCTTTGGTGTAGCATATCTACCACTTTTGAAGGAAAAAAAGGACAGCTGTTCTTAATTGGCTATGGAGAAACTGGACACTCCTGGAATAAAGAGCAACAATTTTAATCCAATAGAAAAATATATTTACAATCTAGTCATATTCCAGTATATCAAAAGATTTTGCTGCATCCAATGTTGCTATTACTGCACATTCATGTGCATCAGTTGACATGACTATTTATCAATCAGAAATCTTATTAATAGTCATCTGGAGCTTATCACCTGGGAAATGAGCTAAATCAGCAAAGAAATTCAACATAATAGCAGAGAGGTAAACCACATGAAGGCACTGAAAGACAATAAATGCTTGTTTGGTGGTGGATATGGATGGGATAAATTAGTGAGTGCTGCTGGACATTACCAGGGGCTGTCTGGGTGTCCAACATATTGTTATAACCTGCTACTTTCAACTATGCCTCATGAACCTATGCCTCATGAACCTCATGCCTCATGAACCTCGCCTATAAAGCCCTACATGGCACGGGCCCAGGGTACTTGCGGGACCACCTCCTACCGGCCTCCCACCGCCCAGTGCGGTCACATAGGGCTGCCCTCCTCCGGGTGCCATCAGCCAGACAATGTCGGCTGGTGGCCCCCAGATTGAGGGCATTCTCGGTGGCCACGCCGACCCTCTGGAATGAATTACCCACCAAGCTCCAGACAGCCTCTGATCTCCGTTCCTTCTGCAAAGATCTTAAGACCTGGCTTTTTACTCAAATTACCTGATCTGGTTGGGTTTTTTAGTTAACTGTGGGATTTTAAATTGGACTTTTAATGCTATTTAATGCTATTGCTTTTATTGTCATTTTATACTTGTGAGCCGCCCCAAGTCCTTCGGGAGAAGGGCGGCATATAAATTTTAATAAAATAAAATAAATAAATAAATGAACGAATACTTTCTTGAACATACATAGTTGCAAACCCTTTAAAGGGCTGCCAACATGTGCAGTAATATCTATCTGTTTTCACTCTCAATACATTCCTAAAGCAGCAACTGGGATAGTTTTGAGCTGTTAGGAAGAAAGGATACCTTATACCAATATAAAAAAAAAAAACCCATTACACAATACTAGTCTCTATGTCTCCAGGGAAGGGAGTCTCCAATGGAATGCCAGTTTTTCTGGTGCTTATTATTTTCCTACCTGTTCTTAACCCAGTTCTTTGTCAGCTTTATTGTGCCAATGCTAGAAATCACAGTGGTTGCCTAGGAGCCTAGAAGTTTCTTCAGAAATCTGAAGCTATAGTTTCAAAAACATAACAGAACTGACTTTGAAACTCGTGGTTTTGGCATCATGCACAGCAGTTTAAGGAATTGACAGAGGACTCATGGTTGAAAGTCATAATTGCATAATATTGGAATTTTACACAATCTTGAAGATAGCTCAAATCTCATTTCACCTTCAGAGCCTGTGCGCACAGAGAAATGCAAATAATTATTTAAATCACTAGATGCACAATTCAGTAACCTACCCAGTGCAAAATAGACACTTAATTGATATGAGGTGATGGAGGTGGGGAGAATCTCCTAAAGCTAAATCATTTCCTAATAAAAAACCAATGGCCATAGATCTCGGAACTTGAAGATGAAATGGAAAATATTACTTTATTTTCAGAGGGATTCAGTCAGTAAGTGACTGAAAAACCCAAGGAAGACAGGTTGACGTTCTTCTAAGCAGTTTCTTTTATTGTTCCTCACCTATAGACAGAAACCTTGTCAAACTAAAGCAGTTTACTTATTCCATGAAATATGTATTCTGGGAATCATTAGGGAGGAGCCGTTCTGAGCCTTTTTCTCCCATATAAACTATCTAAACTGGGCTGTCTCCTACTATTCTGGAATGTAGTTCCTCCATCCTAGGAAGCTGGGCAACATTCCTTCCCAGAAAGGAAGTTAGCTAGAAGTGGGCAAACCACAAAGAAGCACTCCTCATGAGTCAACAACAAGATTGAAAGCAGAAACTGAGAGGAGTTGATGGGAAGATGCATATTGGGAATTAATACAATGGGACTGCTAGCATATTTTTATTATTTTAATGTGTGGTTAGTTGCCAAAATCACATTTGTGAAACGGATGTTGACTTACCTGAACGTCCCTTTTCAGAGTGCTGCGACCACTGTCCATAGCTGGGATCTTCCCTCAGATCTTGACATTAACTGAGAGCTGATAAACTCTCCCTTTTAAGGCACG